CCTTGATTCCATGGAATGTCTGTTCGCGGAACCGGTTCAGGAACAGGAAGTCAGTCCTTCACCTAAGTTGTTTTTAGATGTGATTCAGAGGCAGTGGGCTCAACCAGCGGTTGTTCCCCCACCAAGTAACAATGACAAATGCCTGTGTGGTCCAGGTCCAGACCTGGAGGGGCTCCTTCAGTTGCCGTCTGTGGATCCGCCCGTAGCAACCTTGACTTCCCCTGCCATTGTCCCTTCAGATACTTCTGAAGGCTTGAAGTCTGAGGACCGCAAGGCAGAACAGACCTTCCGCAAGAAACATCAGGCGGCCTCATGGGCGATTAGGGCAGCCATGGCTGCGTCCTTTTTCAATGGGACATCGCTAGTTTGGCTTAGACAATTGCAGGCTAGATTGTCCCCTGAGGACGTCCGTCTCCACCAGGATGTCAACAAACTGGTGGCGGCCTTAGAATTCTCTGCTGATGCCACATTGGCCGCAGCCAAATTTGCATCCAGAGCTATGACTACTACTGCACCTCCCGTTGTTTGCTTTGGCTTTGCCACTGGCAAGCCGATCTGCGTTCAAAATGGCGTTTAGCTTCTTCCCCCTTTAAATGGGGGAAGCTCTTTGGTGAGGTGTTAGATTCCATTCTCATTGAGAATTGGGATAAGAAAAAGGTTCTTCCCTCAGTCCAACGCTGAGCAGATTGTAGGGCTCAACCTTATTTCTGTAGGCAGCCCTTTTTGGGGGACTCGGGGTCAGCTGGACCCAAGTACCCCAGAACCTACTATCAGGGTCCTGATAGAACCCAGGACAGGTCTGGGTTTAGAGATAGATCAAGACAACAATGACAGCCCCAGCAGCAACAGCAGCAGTCCCAATCCCGCCATGGAAACCGAGGAGCCGGTTACTGACCTTTCCATCGGTACCGCTGACTCCCAGGTTGGTATTCCCATTGGTGGGCATCTCAAACACTTCATCCACCGATGGGAACAGTCAACTTTGGACGCTTGGGTTCTTCAAACCGTGCAGATCGGCCTCACTCTAGAGTTTCTTTCCACTCCCCCAAGAAGGTTCGTCAGGTGCACAATTCCGAGGTACAGGCTCAGGAGGGCTCTCATGGATGCCGAGATTCAACACCTGCTGGACATTTGAGCCATCGAACTAGTCCCACCCAACCAGGAACGGAGGGGTTTCTACTCCATCCTGTTTCTAGTGCCCAAGAACTCGGGTGGGGGGGTGGAGGGCGATACTAGATCTCAAGAGGCTGAACGTGTACCTGGGGTACAAGCATTTCAAAATGCAGTCATTGCAAACCATCTTGGGTTGCATTTGCCAGGGAGACTACCTAACATCGGTAGAAATCAAAAAGGCATATCATGTGCCCATTCGACACTCACACCGGAAGTTCCTTCGCTTCTCGTACACAGGGCGCCATTTTCAATATCTAGCCTTGCCATTCAGGCTTTCGTCAGCCCCAAGGACGTTTACCAAGCTGTTGGCCACGGTGATGGCGCATCTCAGATCCTGCCCCGTCAGACTTCAAGCCTATCTCGATGTCCTGATCCAATCCGCACCTCCAGAGCAGGGACGTTGGGATCTTCAAGCGACAATTCGGTTGCTGCAGCTCCATGGTAAATATGGACGAAAGTCAATTGATTCCAGCCACATCCCTGATATATCTCGGGATGCTAATAGACACTGTTCAATGTCAGGTGTCCCTGTCACCTGACCGTTGCACCAGTATTCGAGCTCTGGTGACCCAGGTATAGACCCAGAGATCAGTATACCTTTCATTGCTATACACATTACTTGGGAAGCTGATCTCATGCATAGGGATTGTTCCATGGTCCCCACTCCATGCCTGCCATCTCCAATGGTTCCTCCTCCCACATCAGAGGGGGCACAGGGGCATCCCGGACATCACAGTGTGACTGTCCTCCAAGGTGATCCGATCTCTCTACTGGTGGAACTCCTCTGCCTTGCTGAAGGGTTGTCTGTTCAGAGAGCCAGATCAGATCACAATCACAACCGATGCCAGCTTATACGGTTGGGGCGCTCACACTCAAGAGCGAGTAGCCCAGGGACATTGGAGCCCCCAAGACTTGACAAACAGCAAGGGGAGGGGCCGATGCTGTGACGAGACGATGCGTGATCTCAAAGCTCTGAGATCGCACTTGACACTTTTATTGCTGGGGGGGTTCCAATGGACCTAAATCATCCCGAAGAGATGGTGAACAGGAAGATTACATCTTGCTGATCTCGGGATATCGCAAAATCTCCGAGAAAAGCAGGGGAAAAGTCTTCGGCTGGCAATAAAAATTCCAGTCCATCAAGGCTGACAAAGTCAGGGCAATATGGAGGAGGTGTTAAGCTAGTGAGAAACCTTTATTGTTTTAAAAAAAACGGACTGCCTATAAAATTTAAAAACTAACTTAAATCAAAGAATAGAAGAACTTAATGGCGATTTTGATTTTTGTAATGGTTCTGGACAGTGGTTTATCTTACTTTCTAAGTGTTATTTACATGGATTGATTCTAAGTAAACCTTTTCAAATGGATGGATTACCCTAACATTTCTTCTGACTCTCTGTAAGCTACAAATTGGCTGTTTACATCTCGACACTTTTATTGCTTGGCTGTTCTGGCTTAAGATCTGATAAGAGTGTACAGCTGTTCCTTTGTAGTTTGTTTTCACTTGCGAATGTTTCAATCTTGCTGAGCTTCTAAGAAAAAAATACAACTGCGTATAAACATGGCGTCTCTTCAAGCATATCTTCAAGCGATACTTTTAGCT